CAACTGTCTGATATCTATAGATTCATATTATGGTAATAAACTGAACTTGAAGTACTAATCAGCCATGTTAGGCTATTAATAAAGAAAGACAAAATACATTTTCTAATACTTTTCCTAACACCATGCCAGTTTTCATTTGTGTCTCGGGCAAAAAAATCGTCCTAAAACATTACAAATACTAATTACCAACCTAATAATCACTTCATTTAATCTCTGAACATATCAAGCATGCCAGTCAATTTATTGTTATTTCATTCTACCTTTGAACTCAATCTTTTTCTGAACATTTCCATGGCCTTGCAATTTACGCATGAAATATTCAGAACCAAAGCAAAATGTCTCATCCTCACCCCTAAAACTTGATTTTCTGCGGTAATTTGGTTCAGGAAAAATACAGAGACATTTCTAATCACGGGAAAGAAAAAACACACCCAGTACTCTCTATCAGTTACTTCGAAGATGAAATTTGAAATGACTAAAATCCCATTTTCTGTAAGTAAATGAGAGTAACTAAGACAAAAAGCAAATATTTCTGGGGTTACAATTCACAATGGTGTTGATCACATCCATATAGGTCTACAGTAAGTAAATTTCCCATTAAGAAAACTACAGTATGTTTTACAATGGTAAAACTACAAAAGCATCAAAAGGCACTATCACAGTCTAATTGTATAAAATGCTAATTGTAGAAATTTTGGAAAAGTATTTGGGGGGGCAAAGAAACCATAAGGAAAGCCACAAATGCAAAAATATGCCAAATTTCTTTGTAAAAATAAAACAAAAAACATACCTAGCATTCAGCCACTTCATACCATGACATATTAGCAATTTACCAATTTTCAAAAAAAAAAAAAAAAAAATCTTAACAAAATCATAAATTCATCTGAAAAATCAGGAGAAAGAGAAGAAGGAGAAGACAAAAAAAAATAATTACAGAAAATCAAGATCTCTTTGGTCTATTCTAAGCCTATTTTTCCTTAATTGTCTAATTCACTGAATGACATAAGTGAGTCCTACACCATTTCCTCGATATATGAACATCTCTGAGATAGCATGCTACATTTGTGCACAACATGAAAAAAGGAAAAACAGAAAACAAAACGAACGGACAAATAAAAAAGAAAACATTCATGGGATGACAATAATGGAAATGACGTTGAAAATGATGATCGCTGATGATGATGTGAAAATAATGATGATGATGATTATGACAATGATGATGGTCATGGTGATGACTAGTTATGATAAATAAATGATATGATACTACCAAAAATTATTTAAAAAACTAACCTATTCATATTCATGTTGGGAGGATGTAGAGTTCCCATGTTCATCATCATCTGATTGTTGTTGCTGTACTGGTCATACATCTGCTGCTGTTGCTGACCCATCATCTGCTGTCTCCGTTGGTATATGCTGAAGAGCTCGCCCGTCTCGCGATCATTGTTGGCATTGCAGTTGCTGTCAAAGGGAGGCTGCGGAGGCTGCTGAGGCATCTGGTTTTGCTGTGGAGGCTGGGGTGGAGGGAGGGAAGGCTTGCCGTCGGGTACAGGCGGTAGAGGGACGTTTTGCTTTGGGTGAGGGTAATGCTGAGGTTGCTGGTATGGGGCAGGGAGGTTCGGAGGGGTATGGTTTGGAGGCGGAATCTGGGGCGGTGTTGGCGAAGACTTTGGTGGCAGCGCTGGTGGTGTACCTGGCTTCTCTTCCCGAATATCCTTTTCAACTTTGTCTGAAAAAGCTGGTTTGTTGAGCGAATCTGTGGACTGTCTCTTGTCGGGACTTCTTGAGCGTGCTCTCCTTGGAGGTGGCTTGGGAAGTCCGACCTTTTCTATGATGGTGGGCAGATCCCCGTACGAACTACTTGTGAAAACGTTTTCGGTGTCAAAAAGCCGATCAACGGATGTATTCATGGTCTTCTTTCCTGTAAGGTGGAAGCTTGCAATACTCTTTGACATCATATTGATATCACCTGTAGAAAGTGCCATAGAATTTCTATTTGAACCTAAACCAAATGGGAGACCATCGAGATTTGGGTTTAGAGAGCGTGACATAATATCCCGTGCTCTTGGCCTATTGTATGGCATCGCAGAATGTGGAAAAGTTCTTGGTTTAATTGGCGTCACAAGAAGATGTTCCGTCCATGATGCTTCCAGAGATGGCTTTTCTAATCGTTCAACATCAACATTTAGCGTCTTTTGTTCAAAAGGACAAGCAAAGGTCTCGGGTGGTATACTTTGCAGCCAAGACAACAACGAGAGATCAGAGTCACTGAATGTCGTACAAGAGAGCAGGGAGGGAAATTTGAGTGTGCCGGAGTTACTACTGTCACCAGTGGCCTGACTCTGGCAATACTCCACACATGACTCATACAACAGGCCTTTGATGATCAGCTGTACCAGGCGGTCGTTCTTGGCCATTCCGACTCCTTCCATGTCCCCTGCAAGACCACCACGGCGCTCGGCAGGGAGGAATTTCTCCACCAGTGGGAACACCTGCGAGAGTGACATAACCCTTTAATATGAGTCAATGCTGTAACAAGAATCACATTCATAAAAAAACTTCATTTTTACTACCATAAAATTTTGATCTTTCTGGAAAGGGGAGGCAACATGATAATATAATACAGTGATTCATGATCATCATTACAGAAAAAAAGAAAAGGACAAAAATGTAAATAATATTCTTGTACGGGTTGATTTTGCTGCATCTACTCACTGGAACAGATGCAAAGAACACATCACTCATTATATTAGATCATTTCAGTCTTTGAAATACTAATGCAAGTCTCAAATTCTTCTTGAAGTTCATCCAAATTTCAATCAACTTCATTAATAAAACAGGCCATTAAGAAAAATCACACCTAGTATACAACCATCCAACTCTTGCTCCTACCTCAGCACACAACCCACATCAGTCAGAAGTGCAGAGCAAAACACATATCTTTACTCTGCACTAAAAATACAGACATACTACATACAACTACAAAAACTATTTGAATCCTTAGTCTCCTACCCAAAAGCCATAATTTCAAATATGGGTTCAAACCAGGCAATCAGTCTGTAAGTCAAATTACATAACATCCTTAATATTAATACAACATATCTAACACACACACAACACACACACACACACACACACACACACACACACACACACACACACACACACACACACACACACACACACACACACACACACACACACACACACACACACACACACACTCACACACTCACACACTCACACACTCACACACTCACACACTCACACACTCACTCACTCACTCACTCACTCACTCACTCACTCACTCACTCACTCACTCACTACCACTCACTCACTCACTCACACTCACTCACTCACTCACTCACTCACTCACTCACTCACTCACACAGATATATACACATTCAGTACACACAGCACTGCAAAACATGGATCTTTTGTAAGTATAATTACATATACTTATACTACAATAAATCATCCAAATTAAAATGAAGCAGTACATTAATAACTTTAAATCAATCATTTTTTTCATCCTTTATTCCTAAGACCAAATTCAGTTACTGAAATAATTTTCAGAGTATTCATCATAAGGCAAGTCATAATACCTACTGCACTTTTTCAATCACCTGAACTTCAACTGCATAAATATTAGTATATTAAGAAAAAATAACTCCATGCCATCTAATACAAAACAGATCTTATTCATACTTTTAGCATCCCATATCACTCTGCACCTGTAATAATCAAATAGAGCAACGTCCACATGCCCTAAAGCTGAACAAAAGATAAACGGATTGGAATCCCTACTGGAAAACTAATATAAAGACTCAAAGTACTAAATCTGCCTATGGCACTCCTCAGACGAATTCACTGGGATGCGTACAGAGCAAAAGAGTAGGTGACCAAAGAATGCTTACCGAAGCTGAAGAAAGCCAAATCCTTCTTGCATGAACAGGATATTTATGTTGTTTATCAAAAGGGGTTTGGTTACTAGTCTGTAAACTTGGATTTTCTTTTTTTTCTTTTTTGAAACAAAGAATTTAGGTTAAAACATAATAATGCTTAAAAAAGAAAGCTTTCTGATATAATCACCAAGCCGTCATATGGCCATCTCAAATTGTAACTGGACTGCATAAAACATGAAAGAAAAGAAACCTGAACATACACATCTTGCTTAAAAAAAAGCCCAGTGCTACTAACTATTTGTATATCTGCAAAATCTTCATTCCACTGACAGACCTTCCTGTATGCTTAAAAAAATTAAATGACTTTCTGAATTTGTATCCATACAGCACCTTGAAGAAAATCTAAAAATGCATACTTATACACTCGCACATCACTCATATGACCTCTAATAACTGCTCTGTGCTGGGATACTTTAAGTGTGACAACTACCATGACCTGGTGTTATTGCTGCATCTTTGCCCCAGTAACTTGATCACTAAACTGAATCTTATAAATAGGGTATCATTTAGTCCTATTTTTCTAGAACCTCCAAGTACTGATCTGGTTGCTTTGTGTGTCTTGCCTGAGATGCAGCAATTTGTTGACTAAAGGAGGTAAAAAATACAACTGTCCATATCTATACCTGTGACAGCTTTGTTGTGCAGCATAGGTAGGACATGTTTATAAGTCATAGTATGATCATGAAATGGCCTTAGTGTATATGTATTTTCCATGCTAATGCAGTCATTACAAACGTTAAGACAGAACTAAACTATAACATAATATTCATAAAACACCAGGAATTTTTGCACAGGGTAATGCCCTATACTGTCACCAAACCAGCAACCATACAAACATGACAACCCACTGTTCTTGTCAATAGCAAGAGCTGTGACCTCTGCTGAACAAAAATACTGTTCTAGGTTTATACGTGACACGTGCACATTGGCCAGGGAAATTCTATGCTTACAACATCTGGTGCCACAGGGTTAAAGACACATATGAAGCTAAGGTCACATAACTGACAATTGCCCAAACAAGCATCAAACCACCTCTTGTGATACAGATACAAATAATGATAATAAAACACATATAAATAAATACAAATTTCAAACAAATTAAACTTTCTGCCTTCTCCATTTAACTTCATGTAACTTTGCATGCATTTATATACAGGCACAATCTATATATTTCCTAATCAAATCATTTGTCCACGAAGGGTTTCATACATCTAGTAAGTGACATGCTTTGGAGAACAGTACTTATACAGAAGTACATCAGATATTTGAGGTACATTTTTTCAGGATAATTTCCCTAACTAAACTGTCCTCAATGCAAATTTTGGACCAAATGCATTCAAAATGCAAGCCTACAGTATTCAATATATAACATTCATCCCTCACAACTATCACACCAATCCTCTTTCAAGTATACAGTAATGTCATTCTTACCATACCTATATAGAAATAATGTTTTGCTTCATTTACCATATTAGACAACACTGCACAGACAGCATGAATCATCCATGACAAAAACAGAACATTTTCTATAGCTTTCACAATTCACAAAGAACTATAAATGTACCCAGTTACTTTTCTGTTAGAAATAAACGGATATCGCTGTTGCTTAAACAGCTTTACATTATTAAATTATTTTGGGCCAAAAAAAAAAATAAGCCAATAAATATAGCCTCAGAACGCAACTAAAAAGGTTTTACATACCAAATATCTTACATAAGCCCACTGTAAAATTTACTCATAAACAGATTTAAGCTTTCAAGCATTACATTTATAGACAAAATAAAAATGTAAAGACAAGAGAAAAGGCTGTTCAAAACTGTTCAAAACCAGAAGTTCAAGATGTCAGAGTTTTGCTCACCTGAGTCCAACATTGTACACGCGCAGCACTAGGATTCCAGTCACGAAAGTCTGAGTGTTCATGAAGTCTTGGGAGTGTCAGATACAGGCAGAGTTGAGAATATGCTTCCTTGTTCGGTGCATATTTCTCCAACTCGTTCAGGACCTGTTAAAATCGCAAAGGATGGTGAATATCAGGATAAATAATAGTAATACATCAGTTATGAAGAAAAAGATAAAAAATAATTTTTTCATGACAGAAGAGTGTACTTTTTAACAGAAAATTTATTAACTTCAAATCCAAATAAAGTGCCTCAACATTTTTTAATGTATTTTCTTATATGTAAAAAAACATTCAATCTTATCTGTTTCTAACTAAATAATAGCATATATAGAAAAAAGGCAGTTACACTGTCATACAAAACATCTGAATTCCTTTAATTAAAGACAACATTCTCATATGCCAGACCTCATCTTACCACACTATAATTTTGTGGACCCATCCATGTGTAAAGACAATGAATAAACAAATAAACAAAACAAAAAAAATACTATTTTGCTATGGGGATCAATGGGTTAAAATAACTGGCATATCAAGAAGTTAGGCCAAAATTTGAAATACTGTATAGTCTAATCTAAAAAGCTAGTCTCTCAAACCTCATAACTTTATTTAATATCAACAATATTGCTAATCTACAAGACATGATAATGCCTATCTATAACCTCATACACTATTGAATGCATGAATGAATACTCCATCTTAACATGCAATCATACATCTTCTTGAAATATCACGTCTAATCTAAAGTCAATATCATAACCCTAGTAACTTTATTTGATATCCACAATACTGCTAACCAACACAAGCCTATAACACCTATCTATAAGCTCATACACTACAGGAAGCACGAGTGAAAACACCATCTTAACAAGCAAACATGAATCTTCTTCAAGCTTTTCCAGCTTAAAGAGACCACGAATTCTCACCTTGACTAGTTCATCAACAGCACCTTCCTTGCTGGGATTGGGAGCTTCTGCTTTGATACATAACAACTCAAAATACTTGTACTTCAAAATAATGAAGTGAAATTTCTTTGTATCAAAAGCATCTATTGCCTGCAGGAGGGAGAAAAAGAAACAGACCTTTGTAATCACAAGAGTAAAATGCAAAAGCTAAATATCAATTCTTTCACCTAATACTTCAATTGATGGAATGTAAATACAGAACAATTAAGGGCTGTTTATTAAATAACAAAAATGCTTTTAAATGCACCTGAATAAATGCCAGCTTGGGGGGAGAGGGAATGTAACATTGACTCTCATACACTTAAATTCTCAGTAGATAACTTACTTCAAGTGGTTGCACAAATTCAAGAACATCCTCCCACTGCCCATCGAGAATCAGTTGACGGAGAAAGAGAGCATCATCCGAATGGTTGCCATTAATAATGCCCGTTTCTCGTTCTACATTGAGCTGTGATATATGGAGGTACCTATTTTGGAGGAACTCTAAGGCCAGTCGCACCACGTCCTCCTCCCGAAGAGACAGGTGTGCACTAGGCATTTTGGCGAAGCCTGAAACACACAAGGAAGAATGAGCCTGGATATACTGGATATCTGATCATATAATTATAAAAGTTACAAACAAGTACCTAAATTTTGTGATTAATGGTATGTAAACACATCTTGAGTCTAGCCACACTTTTTCAAACATGTGGAATAACAGCAACAATTACAATAACAAAAACACTTATTAGAATCAGACTTTTACCCACTAACACCAAATGACGGTAAGTTACACCGTGGCGAAATAGGTCACTGTGCAATAAAACAGCCTTTCTTTCCTTAAAAATTGTACTCGTTGCAAGCAAATTGAAGAAAATGGGGTACCTGCGTGTTTACTGTGCCTCTAGTTTTTCACTTGAGCAGCTGAATGTATGCAAAGATTGGTTGGGGAAACCCACTGTGAGAAGGGTAAAGTCTGTGGTATGCTTTCCCTCATTCCTAAACAAATGGACATGTATGGGATTACAAATAAATGGTCAAGGAACAATATGATTATAAAACTATAAAATAAGGGCTACAATCTAAAAATCTGGACAAAAAAAAACAAGGGGAGCATTGGAACTGGGCAACTCTTACTCGCATACACAAAACTGCTAATCATTTTCAGCAACTTTCCTAATGTATTAAATATCAGTTGGCCCTTGTACTTTCAGCCATGGCTCTGTTGAATTAACTCATTCAATACAATGGGATGCCTCACCATGCCAGAAGTTGCATGAAACATCTCCACCAGTATAATTGTCAAACCCAAATTTTAGCAACAGTCATCCCACCCATGAATGACAAATATAACATGCAAACCAAATCAGTACAGTTTAGTCTCACATACTTCAAATTATGCATGCTACCTTGAAATGAAACGACAATTCTTTTGTTAATAGTAAAAAATCTATCTTAGCACAGAATATTCTGGGTATCTCATAGGCCTATGTATAATTTCAATAAAACCTAACCACACATAATCATTAACAAAATCAACCCCCTACCACCTTGCTATTTTTCAGGCTACCCTTTTATGGTTGCTGCTAATCACTTTTATCTAAACAAGCCACTGGGAATGCTATTTTCTCTACTGCCACTCAAATACTCTTTGATAAAATGAATATCTGGTCATTTGGATTTTGTTAAGTGCTTTACTAAGATGCTATGACTTAGAAAAAAAAATTATTTAAAGGCTTTCCCTAACAAACCAGTGTCATCAATCAACGTCAAAATGTACTCCTTACCACCTTCACACAATAAGCTGCTGTTTCTCAACAATCGCAAAATGAAATAAACCTTACATAATACCTTTCAAGTCCTTCACACTTCACAATCAAATGTGGTTCAAGTTTTCAGTGTGTAGTTTAAGGAGTTATAACACGCACAAGTGGGTTACAAACATAATGAGTAGGCCTGTGTCTGGTTGAGGCAGTGGCACAAAAAGATTAGGGGAAAATTTTACGATTCTAGAACTTTCTCAGATATTATACATATATAAAAACAGTAAGTCCATTTTACTCTTGTTAACTGCAACACTCTGCATATTCTGATCCTCTGCAGTTTACATGCAAAATCTAACAATAACTATCTTACATAATAACATGTATAATATCCTGGTTGGTTTTGAAATCTGACAATTCTAAGATTCATTTACATTGTAGTAAACATTTACTTACATGATAATTATATCTTTTATCCTATTAAAGACACTTAGATTCATTAACACACAGAAATATGTTGGTTCTGGAACAACAGATCTCAAAGGATTCTTGTACTTGATTAATATTTGGCCCTGAAGCTTATAAAGAAAGACAGAATACGTTCAACTTCTTTTTCTTCTTTACATGCTACGGCCCTTTTTTCCAAGCTGAATTACACAAGTGAGTCCTTGGAACGTACTCTAATTCCTATACCTTTGCTCTGCCTCACCTTCCTTATCTGTCTTTCCTTAAATATAGATTATGTGTCACATGCTCCATAAACAATCTACAAAGGCTTCTAATACATCATGTGTGATATATATATATATATATATATATATATATATATATATATATATATATATATATATATATATATATATATTATATATATAAAAAGATACTTATCAATAAATCTGCACATCTACCACTAACCTCTCGCCATTTAGAAACTGCGGGACCAAAAAACGTGAAGCATTTATATTCTGGCAAGATAGAGTTTATAGATCTCCTGAGCAGTTTATTAGCAGATAAGGAATTCAATTAGATGATAAAACAAATCTAATCATGACAATTACAAACAAAAGAATGCAGTTAAGGTACCATAAATATGTATTCATATGTAATATACAAATAATAGAAAAATATATATATGGATTGATAAATAAATAAGACACACACACACACACATATATATATCATATAAAGAAAAAAGCATGAAGCACTAAAAGCAATAATGAATAATAATAATAATAATAATAATAATAATAATAATAATAATAATAATAATAATAATAATAATAATAATAATAATAATAATAATAATAATAATAATAATAATAATAATAATAATAATAATAATAACAATAACAATAACAATAACAATAACAATAACAATAACAATAACAATAACAATAACAATAACAATAACAATAATAATAATAATAATAAAATAATAATAATAATAATAATAATAATAATAATAATATAATAATAATAATAATAATAATAATAATAATAATAATAATAATAATAAATAATAATAATAATAATAATAATAATAATAATAATAATAATATAATAATAATAAAATATAATAATAATAATAATAATAATGATGATGATGATAATAACAACAACATAGTTGAAAACCACAATAACAGCAATGTTAATGGTAGTAATTATGATAGTGATAGTGATAATTATAAAAATGATAGTGATGATGATGATAATGATGGTAACAATGATAGTAACAATAACATAGATAACAGCAACAACTATAACTACAATAATAATAATGATATTATAAATAATAATAATAGTAATAATAATAATCATAAATAATAACAATAATAATAACAATAATAATAATAAAAAACATAATAGTAAACAGCAACAAGAATACTAATGATAAAAACAATAGAAAAAAACAATAATAAATCATAATAACATCAAAAACAATAAAAAACAAAAATAACAATACTAATGATGGATGATGATGATGATAATAATGGTGATAATAATGATAATAATAAGAAAAAAAAAACAATACAAGTAATACTAACAACAATATAATATTATATGATAATAACTATCATAATGATAGCTATAACAATGACAATAGTGCTGATGACAGCATTAATGATAATGATAACGATAGTGATATTAATAATACTAAAAATAACAATAATAATAATAATAATAATAATAATAATAATATAATATAATGTTAATAATTAAAACAATAATAACAAAAACATTAAATGATAACAATAACAACACCAATAATAATAATTAAACACCAAATAATAATAATAATAATAAAATAATAATAATAATAATAATCATAATAATCATAATAATCATACTAATAATAATAATAATAATAATAATAATAATAATAATAATAATAATAATAATAATAATAATAATAATAATAATAATAATAATAATAATAATAATAATAATAATAATAACAACAACAATAATAGTAATAAACAACAACAGCAAAAGAATATAACAATAATAATAGTAATAACAAGAAAAAAAAACATCAATTTTACCAATAGCAATAACAATAATAATGACAATAACAACAAAAATAACCACAGTAGCAACAATGACACAAATTCTACAACTAAAAATAATAATAATAGTAACAACAAAAGCAACAACAGGCATAATAATAAAAAAACAAAAATAATAATGCAACATGACGTATACTAATACTGACAAATATTAAGATTAGACATTAGCAATTATGTAAATTTATCCTAAAAATAAAATAAGTATACCAACAGTGATAATGCTACAAATACTAGTATATAAAATAATTGTGAAAATAATAATGAAAACAAAACATCTATGATAATGATGAAAATAATAATAAGAAAAGCAATGATAATGATAACAATAATGATATAATAATAATAATAATAATAATATAATAATAATAATAATAATAATAATAATAATAATAATAATTAATAATAATAATAATAATATATAATAATAATAATAATAATGGTAATAAAGATAACCATAATAATAATAATGATAATAAATACAACAATAATAATAAAAATAATAACAAACACAAAAACAAAAACAACAATAACAAATAATAATACTAATGATAATGATAATAATGACAATAATAATAATGATAAAAATCATAGTGATAGTAATATCAACTGAACAGTAATAGAAATATCATTAGAAGTATAATAATAATAAAAATATAATATAATAATTAATAATAATAATAATAATAATAACAATAATAATAATAACAATAATAATGATAATAATAATAGAAATAAATAACAACAATAACAAAAATAACAATAATAATAACAATAATAATAATAATAATAATAATAATAATAATAATAATAATAATAATAATATAAAAATAATAAAAGTAATAATAGTAATGATAGTGATAATAATCACCTCAAATAATAATCATAACAATGATAATAACAAAAATAAACAAAACAAATGTTAAAAATAATTATAACAATAAACAACAATAATAATAATAATAATAATAATAATAATAATAATAATAATAATAATAATAATAACAACAATAACAACAACAACAGCAATAATAACAGTTATAGTAATAATATCAGTAATAATAATGATAATGATGATGATAGTAATCATGACAATAACAATAACAATAATAAGAATATAAGTCATAAAAATAAAGTTATTATTATTACTATCATTATCATTATTATTATTAATATAGAAATAATTAAATAATAAAATCACAATGATAACAAGGATGAGGATGATGAAACCAATAATAAGAATAATAATAGTATCAATTACTATTATTATAACAATAACAATGATAAGAAGAATAAAACAGTAACAATAATAAAAAAGAAAAAAAATATCAACAATAATAATAATAATGTTATTGATAATGATGATAATAACAATACTAACTATAGTCAAAATAACAATAACAATAACAATGATAACAGTAATAATACAAATTATAATAATAATGAAAAAAATAATAAAAAAATAAAACTAAAAATAATAAATATTATTATTAGAATTACAATAATAATAATAACAATAATAATACTAAAAATAATAATTACTATAGAAATGGCACAAATTAACAATGTAAAATATACATATTAATACTAAAACTTGCTATATATCATCATACAATTCCTTGAACTTTAAGCTTTTGCCAACTATAAATTGCATGTCCAGAAAAATACATCAAATCTAAGAATAATTTAGTCTGGTAAAATATTAGCTGTAGTCATTTTACACAAGCCAACCAACCACCTGTCTTTTCTAATCATTAGAATTATTTTTGTTCATTGTTAGTGTAATATTAGTATGATAACAGACCCTAAGCCTCACCGAGACATGGTAAACATTTCACTGAATTGCAGTGACCTTGTTCCTTTGGTAAATGTTTCATTATCAAAACATTCTGTTTTTGCATGCATTATTTTCAGAATTGGAATATCTCGGTTAATTTCGATCTCGCATAAAGTCTGATCCACGTCGCTTGAGTCATCAAATGAGCTGGTCTTTCCTCTTGATTTCCAGCCACACTGTTTCAGAGCTGAATATCTTCCCTATTCCATCCAAGTTCTGAGAGTCAAAGCACAAACCCCAATCATAACCATTTCCTCTCCTTGCTGGAGAAACATGGGAGTCAAATTCCACAAGAATTTCCCCCACTTCCTCACACCTGGCTGCTGTTCCTGCCACACCCCTTCTTCTCCACACACCTCTCTGTCACTCACCAACTCCCACTCTGCACACTTTTTATCACCGCATGCCCCTGTTCCTCCTGCGAACACGTGCCCCCGTGCCTGTACACCTGCAGGAGGCTCCGTCTCTCGCACACCTGTCACTCGGGGCCTGGACTCTGCCCTCGCCCGCAGCCCAGCCTCAGGACCTCCTCGAGTCCTTCGCGCCCGCAGCCACCTGTCAATTCCTGGATGCTCGGCTTCCGCACACCCGCCATATGCTCACCTCGTGCTAATTACACACACACCTCGGTGTCGGTAGGCTGTTGCGGTGGCCTGAGTCAACCACTTAAACCCTTCATGCACAAAGTCTGAGCCTACGCCACCCTCGGCCCCTCCTTACTGCCGCCCAGCCCGCGCCGCCTAGGCCTACGCGGCTCTCCTAGGCCTTATTATGGGCGCCATGCCATGCACAGAATCATGCTCGTCGTCGCTAGCCATACCTGTCTGCGTTACATTAAATTAAGAAGGTAATTCACACATCTCGAGTGACGTTCAGTGTCAAGGATCTGCGAGGAGATCCCACGTGAGGGGTTGCCGCATACTATTTTGTTTGCGAATTTATTTTGATTGGAGGAAATGGCGAGACCTTTACGGAATTGAAGGCTGGTTAAGCTCTCGCTCGGCGTTCCGGCTGCAGCCAACGCGCCAGACCATGACTGTTTGGAACTGTTGATGTTCAATATATTCACATCAATTACTGAAGAAGAAACTCGCAAGATGTGCATCCAAAACAGAGAATTCGGGAATTTTCATTGGTCGGCGGCCACGGCGACGGACTCGCTCCGCCAATCACCTTCGCCCGATATTAATCATGGCTCAGCATTATTAAATATCTCCATTAATACTTCACTGCTTATTTAGCAGGTTAAATATTAGAATTGATAACACGAAAACTTTAAAGAAAGAGGAAAAACAAATCATTTACATCTAATATCGATATTTTGCGCTTTCCGTACTTCATTTTTAACGATTCCAAATAAGTAAAATACCCAACGCCTTAATTTCACCAAAACACACTTCATAAACACCCAAATTAATTAATAGAAATAATAAAAATATACAGGTATTCGTATATAAGCTATTTAACCCGTATTTCCGCCCGCCCTTCACCAGAATCGCAGTCGCCTCTCCTCGCCAAGTCGCCATCGGTCGTCTGTCGGTCGTCGAGCTCCCTCCCTACCAAGATGTCTGGCGTAATCGGGAAAATCTACCAGAATATCTTCCGGCGGACGTCCTCCTTCGTCTTCGCCGCCGTGTGTGGAGCCTTCATGTTCGAGCGAGGCTTTGAGCTGGTGTCCGATGGGATCTTCGAGACAGTAAACCAAGGGGTGAGATTTCCCAGTCAGCTGATGGCTCGAGTGACCCGATGATGCAATATATTATGGGTTGACGAAATAGCTTTTGAGGAGATTTTTATTAGCTCACATGCAGTTTAGCTCAGTTTTAAGAGATTATGTCATGTTGAGAGGCCTCTTTTATGTTGGTTTTGGCCTGAAATGCGCTAAATATGTGTGACCTATTAACGGGGACGGACTTACACCCCAGAGGAGCCGGTGTGGGAACGTAGCCGCAGGAATGACTTTGCTGGTCGGAATTCTAGGCAGTTTGCATATCCTTATGACTAGAAGGAGATGCTCGTCATTTTTCTCGGTTATCTCCTTTGATATCCCTAATATTTGGGGTTGAAATCTGAATGTTGAACATAGAGTCCCAGGAATCCACCTTTTGTTTGTTTCCTGTATTTGGCTGCTCTTACACAAAGCTATACAGACATATCGATAATTGCGATATATGTAGTATTCCGCTGCCATTTAACCTTGAGGTTATTATTTCTTATTTCAGTTGTTCACAGTATAACATCTCAAGTGATAAGCTAAAAAATTGGTAATTGTTTATGATTACCACATCCCTCTGGGACAGTCCTTATTACTCCAGCCATTCCAGGGTATCTACAAACATCACTGTATAAACTAAAAGACTTCTGAGGTGATTCTGTACAATATCCATGTCACAAACTTTATTCAACAATAGGCATCTTTTCCAGTGGTTATGGGAAACACGACACCTCTAGCACGACAGGAATCAAGCAGACGGTGAACTTTAATCGAGTTGCCAGATGCATTCTTTCTACTTTGGATATTTCATGCATATTTGTACTTGTGTTGGATATCTATAACACTGCACTACCTACCATAAGATATCAAAAGCCACCTCAGATATCATATTCCTAATTACTGTGTACCTGTCAGAAAAATAACCAGTACAGTAAAATAACAAGCCATCAACTGCGATCATTCCCATTACGTCACAGAAATGGGCGGAGCTTAGAGACCTGTCTCACCTCTGATCACGAGACAGCTTTTGGTGGCGCGTCGTGTCTCGCGACACCCTAATTGCCACCATTGCCACCGGAAAAGATGCCTAATGTAAGTTGCTGTGACTGGGTGTGCTCTTAGGTCACTGCCAAAGGGAGGGTTGATGGGGGGCGCTGCCCCCAATGCCCCCTGGCAAAGATGTCCTCACTTCAGTATGTATGGCAAGGTAGAGCTGAAACTCAGGAGCACCAAGTGGACCGTCTCTGAGCAACATTTTCTGTGAAATTACCCTTTATTTGTGGTGTTACTCTTTATATCTGCAGTTTATTTCTTGTATGGGCAACTGCAACGTTTAGTCCTGTACAAGAATATCATTGTAAATTTGCCCAACCTCAGTGCATCCATACTGTGAGGATAAACCACCTCCCAACCCCCAGGCTTGTGCCTCCAGACCCGCCACCAACAGATGTATTTCCTAATCTGGGGCTCTGCCTCTGNGGGAAAATCTACGCTCTTCCGATCTGTCGGTCGTCGAGCTCCCTCCCTACCAAGATGTCTGGCGTAATCGGGAAAATCTACCAGAATATCTTCCGGCGGACGTCCTCCTTCGTCTTCGCCGCCGTGTGTGGAGCCTTCATGTTCGAGCGAGGCTTTGAGCTGGTGTCCGATGGGATCTTCGAGACAGTTAACCAAGGGGTGAGATTTCCCAGTCAGCTGATGGCTCGAGTGACCCGATGATGCAATATATTATGGGTTGACGAAATAGCTTTTGAGGAGATTTTTATGAGCTCACATGCAGTTTAGCTCAGTTTTAAGAGATTATGTCATGTTGAGAGGCCTCTTTTATGTTGGTTTTGGCCTGAAATGCGCTAAATATGTGTGACCTATTAACGGGGACGGACTTACACCCCAGAGGAGCCGGTGTGGGAACGTAGCCGCAGGAATGACTTTCTGGGTCGGAATTCTAAGGCAGTTTGCATATCCTTATGACTAGAAGGAGATGCTCGTCATTTTTCTCGGTTATCTCCTATGATATCCCTAATATTTGGGGTTGAAATCTGAATGTTGAACATAGAGCCCCAGGAATCCACCTTTTGTTTGTTTTCCTGTATTTGGCTGCTCTTACACAGCTATACACACATTAATGGGCGATATTTGTAGTATTCCGCTGCCATTTAACCTTGAGATTATTATTTCTTATTTCAGTTGATCACAGTGTAACATCTCAAATGAAATATGCTAAAAAGTTGATAATTGGGGATAATTGTTTATGGTGACCACATCCCTCCGGGACAGTCCTTATTACTCAGGCCATTCCTGAGATCCACAAACATTGCTGTATAAACCAAAAGTCTTCCTATATAATTCTGTGCAGTATGCAAACACTCGCTAGATTCCAAGTTCCTAAATCCATGTTACAAACTTTATTTAACAATCTAAATTCCCGTGACTGGGTGTGCTCTTAGGACACTGCCGAAGGGGAGGGTTGATGGGCAAAGATGTTCTCACTTCAGTGTGCATGGCAAGGTAGAGCTGAAACTCAGGAGCACCAAGTGGACTTGGTCTGAGCAGCGCTTTCTGCAAAATTTCCTTTTATTTGTGGCATTACTGTTTATAGCTGCAGATTATTTCTTGTACTGGCGACTGCAATGTTTAGTCCTGTACAAGAATATCATTGTCAATTTGCCCTAGCTTAGTGCGTTCATACTGTTAGGATAAACTGCCTCCCAACCCTGGGCTTTGCCCCCAGACCTCCCACCAACTGACGTATTTCCATGTCAGGGGCTCTGCCCAACTACCCCATCCCAGTCACTGTAGATTAACTCTCCACAACATATTTTCTTATTTTCTGACATTAGTCTTTGTCTGTGTAGATTATTTCACGTGTCATTGAATGTAGTTTTTCCCATTTTAATGAGTATCATTAGATTTTCATATCTTACTGCAGCCATTCTGTAAATGTGTGTTGCACAGTTTTCTTCCTATTAAAGTGTGAAGTAAATACCATAGATGAAGTGTCTGGTAATTCATTACAATATGGATGCACCCACCAGAGAATGTTCCAAGTACCACGTCATAAATTTGATTCAATAGCCTTAATTGCCATGTCAGGGCGTGCCCTATAGGCATTACCCAAGGAGGGGGCTGCTGGGCCCCAGGAAACATTGTCTTCACCTCGGTATGCACAGGAAGATGGAGCTGAAACTTAGGAAGACTGGGTGGACATGGGTTGTGAGCACTGCTTTCTGCAATCTTTTTCTTTGATTTGTTGCATAACCATTAGTGTCTGCAGATTGCTTCTTGTACTGATGACCATCACTTTTTATTCTCTACACAAATATAGGCTTCAATTTTCCCTTGCTGAGTGCATCTGTACCTTAGAGATTAACCATGTCTTATTGTTTTTCCTGTCCATTACAGGCAAAAGTTTACATTATACCAGATGACTATGAAACAAGCTATACTAATAGATTGATGGAAATGGATAGAGAGATACAAGTTTATATATAGTTCACCTGTCCATAGATTGACATAGCCTCTGTACTTGTTGGCGCTCTAGCATGTACTATTTGGCAAGATGGAGATGGTAGACCACCCTTGTGATTCAGTGTCAGCTAAGCCAGTATATTCATTTTTGAGAACAGTTATACATCATAAAACCCATCAAAATGGTATCATTGAACTGCTATCTATGCTACTAACCAATGCAGCAGAAAAAGCACAAAATGTCCAAAAACTCCCATTGAAGCTCAGTGAGGGATGTTTACTTTCTTACTCACAAGATGTGTTTCTAGGGCCTCTCTTGGCTCTTGTCTTTCCAGTTAGGTATGGAAATTTTACATTCCAAGTGGGGAGATGGGTGAGCAGCAGCCCCCCTTACAATGACAAAAATACATACATAGGATATAACCTAACCCTTCCATTTCCTAATGATAGCTCTTGTCCTCGCCACCCTAGGCTTTAGAATGAACCTTTTGATGTCACTCAAGAGGTGCATCACTTTGACTTGTCTAGGTTCTCTTCCTCGTCAGAGTACACAGCCCCCTAACAAAGGGAAAGCAGCCAAACAAAAATTTCATCTCCCCACTTTTTTCTGAAATTGATAATTTATGTAGACAGAAAGTTATGAAGTTGATTAAATAGGTCAGTTACCATTGGAGATGTACTTTTGTAAATCCAGAAGGCAGTATATTAATCTTTAACTTGCAAATACCCATTTTATGAAATGGTCTTGGAACGAATCTATGCCTTTAACCCTATGCCACTGGGATCATGTGATTTACACTGTAGTATTTTGTGAAATATGGTTACACATAGTTGGCTCAAGTACAAAGCCATCAAGGAGTCATTTCGTAGAGCTACAAGACTTCACCTGATTTTCTCTTTTCTCGAGTTTTCAGGAAAAATATATCTACCTGAAGATAAATAATATTTATGGCCTTAATTACTAAGCTTTTTGACTTCCACAGTAATGTTATGATAAAAGTCCTTTAATTAATCTAACAATCCTAGTAATATGTGCCGTATTGGAACAAAAAGGCTTACAAGGTCAAATGTAAGTCCAAATGAAACCTGTGTTGAGGACAGTGTCAAATTTAAAACTATTTTGAGCATCTGCCTGGTGTAATCCACAATATCAGTTATGCCACAGGATTAGAGTGGGCCTGATGTGGGAGTTTACATGTATCAATATATGTTGATGTGGCAGGGATGCATACCCTCATCTACTTTCATTTCATGGCAGTGGTTCTGGTTCCCCTTATTGTGCTATTCTCGACTGGACATCAATAAAAGAGATGTCTAATGTGCCCTTTGAAAGACTGTTCCTTTATGTATATTCATTGTTTTGCTTTTACAAAATGCTGAATGATAACTAGTATTGAATGTGTCCAGGTTTCAGCATTATAGGTCCCTCTATGATTTGTCATAGGTTGCTTATGCTTTTTAGATCTGTTCATTAATCTCTAAGCGCTTGCTCCAGGCACTTTTGCACCTTCCAACAGCTTATTTCAGGAATTTGGACCCCCCATCCTCCCATATATGTGCACTAAACATAACCAGATGCCAGTCTCCATATATCTCAAGCTCGTCCAATAGGCTTAACAAACCCCCTCTCTCTCTACACCAACTTTTATCCCAATCTTGACTGGCTTACTGTCAATGAGTTTAGGGTGCTTTCAAGATAAATCACACCTGCAAAATATGAAAACAGTCCAAGTCATGAACTAACATGTGGGTGCCAACAACGAAGCATCTTGTCAGAGAATGTATTCTTTATAATTTAATTCATAGCCATGTAGGTAAAAGTAGGTATTGTGAGTTAAAAGATTCTTATACAGGATTTTGTTGACCGTGGATTTTATGAACATCTTGGCAGAATTTTTTCCGCAGCATTTTGTTTGTTTGAGTTGGTCCTCATGTATTGAGAAATTGCATACTATGTAATTTTTCACCCTCTTTCAGCTTTTAATTTGAGATTGAATGTGTCAGGAGATAAGATAAATAGGAAAGTCTGGAATTATCATCATGTTCAGTATTTTTGCAAAATATATAATTCACTCTCACTCTCTTTCTCTCTTTCTAGTTTTATTGGAGATTTAAGTGTTCCTTCAGTGGGAATTTGCAGTTTTTATATTTTTTCTCTTCTCCCTGACAGAAACTGTGGAAGCACATCAAGCACCGCTACGACCAGCCTGTTGAAGAGGAGGACGATGAGTAATGGAATGTCAGCTGCATTGCCTTGGTTCTGTTACCTCCATTCCGTATTAGCATCATCGTCTCGGGCTTGGAAAGAAAATTGAGAAGTCAGCATGAAACCAGCCGAAAAGATTACCCCTTTTAATTCTCATAGAAGCTACTGGTAGTCTTATCTATGGTACATCCTGTCTTACTAAGTATTTGAAAAGGGAAGAATACAAAGTTATTAGTTTTACTATTTTTAAGGGTAAAAAAAAACAACAACTTATAGCTCACTGTTTCATCATATGTACAAACTCATCAAATGTATAGTTGTGAATAAAAAATGGAATGAATATAGGTGGTCTTATTAGTTTCTAGCTTATCCTATTCGAAGTCAGGGGCTGTATTAAAGAAATTAGTATTGATGCACTGAGAATTGTATGAATAAGGAAATGGAAGTAGATTGCAGAATCAAGTCTGTATTATTTCAAGCTATAGTTCTTCTTAATATTGAAAAAAAAAAAAAAGTGCAAATCTTGCCAGATCACTGGTAAACATCAAATTCTAAACTTGTGCAAAGATACAGTATTAGTGCTATTTTTTATTTATGAAAAAGAGATTTCTTTCAGTTCTTAGTGATGGATATTATGGACTTCTGCATGAAATGTGCCTTCCAGCTCACGGGTTGTGGTATATATATGCTGCCATCATTACAATACAGCATTAGCATGATGCTGAGAATAACATTGCTTCCTGCAGCTGCTGTCTGATAATACTCTGTGTTACACAAAGAGCCTACATTTCATGAGACTGAAAAATTTAGTCATTTAATATTTTCTTGTTCATTTTCTGTTTTACAATAGAGAACTTGATAAACTAGATTCCACTGCAAGTATGTAGTGTTAGATATATTAAACACAGCAGCATAGATACCACTGAAAAATGATAAGCAGATACAATAATAAAAAACGGCTGTAATTCGTACTCCATACTACAGTCCTAATTTGTTTTTAGGAAGACATGTATAACATATTAGACGTGTAGCTTTGAATGTAACGTTTCTTCAATGAGATGCTTTTTACCGAACCAAGCATCGATGATACGAATCCCAAGGAAGATATAGTCTTGTTTGAGCATATATTCGATAACTCTTTTGGGTCCTCCCTTGATGTGGTTTATCTCGACGCACATGAGGCGAATGGTAATTCTATCCCAAGGGATGGTTCTCAGCACCTGGGGGGTAGAGAGGAGGCTTGTAGATTTGAGAAGATATTTGGAATGGCAATGAAAAAGGTAAGGGAGGGGCAATGAGAGAAGTGCTCTGCATAAGGTATTGACGGGGTTAACCTATAGTGTATTTTAGGAAGACGTGTGGAAATTTTATGATCTTATTGTAACCACGGGTTATGAGAAGGGGAAAGTGTTACATATATTGTTATACTTAAGTACCCATTTATTAAACCTCAGAAATAAACCCACTTGGGAACAGTGACATTTATCCACAGCAGGTTCATTTCTCTTAGTCACTGACAGCATTAGCATTGGATATTAGGTGTACGACCAGGGAACAGCTGTTAACTCCCCTAGTAGTGTCTCAGAGAAAATCCCACTTTACACTGTCATTACTGGACTTGGGGCTCATATCGACCTGTCCCGGCGTCAGGTGGTGTACATCTGAAGTTGGGGTTTTCCATAGCTCATGCATCAATTATTCGGATACACAGGCGAAGTCGAGCAAAGCTTTAGTATACATACACACTCACTCTCACACGCACTCACTCACAATCATACACACACACGCTCACTCACACACACACACACACACACACACACACACACACACTTCACTCTCTTACTCCCCCCTTCTCTATTTGTGTACATGTGTAATTGCGCGCGTGGGTGTCTGGGTCTGTCCGTGTTTTTGTACACGCTTAAATAGTAATAAGAGTGAGTCACTGACGCTTAAATAGTGGTAAGAATTGAGTCACTAACATTGACAATGATTACTAACATGTTTTAAAATATATTTTGATAAGAATGAGAATGTTGCCAGCGATCGCCAGGGTCAATGCATAAACAAGTCCTCGTAATAGGAGAAATAATCACTCATTGATAACAAAAGGCCAAAGCTGATTAAAGCGAGACCATTATGTACGAGCGTGGGGTTGGGTGGGGGTCGGGTGGCTTGAAGTGCTACGTGTTGAGGGAAACTGTTTGTTTTGGTTTATTGGGCGAGTGTATGGATGGTTAGCATCAAAAGGTTTTGGATGATATATGATTTTTTTGCTTCTTTTTTTTTTCTCCTTTTTCTTCATCACGGTCTCTCGTCTGTCTACTCTGTGTGTGTGTGTGTGTGTGTGTGTGTGTGTGTGTGTGTGTGTGTGTGTGTGTGTGTGCGTGTGTGTGTGTGAATGAAAAGAGATACGCGTGTATGTGAGCTATACACTCTGCCCCTTTCAGTCCCATATGAGTAGTTAAATACTAGAAAATTCGAAGCATTATCTCGAAAATCATTCTGAAACACTACACGACGAATCCCATGGTTATACTACCTAAAGATTAGATATCAAACACTCTGCTCTCTGGATTGGCGTGATTTATCTCGTTCGGGTAGAGGGTACGACTGAACGTGCTGGCAAAACAAAATAATAAAGATGATGATACTGACACTGATAATTAAAGATGATGATATTGACACTGATAATGATGATAATAACTTTTGGAACTCTGAACAGCTCTTGTAATATGCCCTATCTCCGATGGTTTCAGCTTATGGCATCCGTTCCTGCTGCCTTTTCCTTGCAACCTTTCAACACAAGAATCAAAGGCCTCTGATTACCTGTAGCTGACGAGGCCGCCTCTTCACCTGACGAGGAGCCAAAGACATTTTAGGCGGGCTTTGTGTATTAATATAGGTCGTCCCTCCTACTACTAGGGTCCATGCAATGTTATGTGACGCGTGTTGACTTACTAACTTGGGAGGCTTACTAACTTACTAACTTTAACTAACCACTTCTAAAAGGAAATTTATCGTGTGTCGTCATGATACTGGTGATGAATATATGAATAAAAACGCGGTGATGATGATGATGATTATGGCCAAAGTCACTACCTCGGACCTCAACCCTCGTCTCAACTAATTTTGCATGGTCTTTTCTTATCCTTTCCTTTTCTTCGTCTTCTTCATCCCCTTCTTCTGTCCACATTCGAAAGTGTAAGAGTCGTACTGACAGGATGAAGGGCTTGGCATTGTGTCAAGTCCTGGGCGGTCTTCCTACTCCGCTATTCTCTATTCTTCGCTATGTTCTATTCTTCGCTATTCTTCTATTCTTCGCTATTCTCTAATTCTTCGCTATTCTCTAATTCTTCGCCATTCTCTATTCTTCGCTATTCTCTCTTTACCATGTTCACTACCATACGGCCCTACAGCTCTCTCTATAGCCTTTATCTAACACATTTTGCCCTAATTGTTAATTCCTTTTTTCTACATTACTGTGCCGTAATGCTGTGTGACCTTTCCTGACCTGAGGCTTCATCCCCAAGTCTCGCCCTATAATAATGATTACAACAATAACAGAAAAAAATCATAATACCAATCATAATAATGATGATTTTATCAACAATGATGGCGATGATAACGATTAAAACACCGACAACAACAAAATAACTATAATAACAATAACAATACTCTCATCACTCTCATTCTCATCGTTGTCACTATCATCATGTTCAATAACAACAATCCTCATCACTCTCATCATCATTGTTGTCACCATCATCACCATCTTCAAGCGAGGACCTCCTGACCTCCAGTTCGTCTCCCTCCACGTCAAGGGAAAGAAAATCGACCACAGTGACATTGAGGGCGGCGAGCATGGCGTAGAGAGGGAAGCGCCAAACGGGGACACCGGTTCCTTCGTCCACACCCAGGCGGCCGAAGAGCTGCTTCCTCCTGCCGATGAGCAGCGAGGGGGGGGGGTCAATGATGATGGTGATTGGTGATGATAGTAATAATGATAGTCATAATAATAATTATGGTAAAAAAAATAATAGTGGTAATGTTAATAATAATGGTAATAATAATATTAACAATAATGGTAATATTAATAATAATGTAATAATAATAACAATAATGGAATAATAATAATGGTAATATAAATAATGGTAATAATAATATAAAATAATGTAATATTAATAATAATAATAAATAATAATAAATAATAATAATAATAATGGTAATATATAATAGTAATATACTACTATTATGATGGTAATATAATATGATGTAAAGATAATAATAATGATATACTAATACTACCATACAAATAATGATAGTAATACTACTAATAATATAACTAATACTAACAATAATACATAATAATAACGTAATATAATCATAATAGTTAGACTGCTGAATTTATTGTCTTATTCAGGATAAATGTTTGGTTCTGCGGTTATGTCCTTTTTGATAACGCTTTACGTTTACAGAAATGAGAAACGAAGGAATTAAATTCACTCATGAGTATCAATACAATCTAGAGCAAATCAATGAAGAAATGCCATAGAGCTCTTCATTTCGCTAATTCTAAATACCTGTTGAATACACTCAGAGATTTCGCTCTCGCTGTTAAATATTCTCAGATTTCGCCTGTTAAATATTCTCAGATTTCGGTTAAATATTCTCTCGGTTAAATATTCTCAGATTTCGCTGTTAATATTCTCAGATTTCGCTGTTAAATATTCTCAGATTTCGAAATATTCTCAGAGTACCTGTTAAATATTCTCAGATTTCGCTAACTCTAAATACCTGTTAAATATTCTCAGATTTCGTAAATAAATATTCTCAGCCTGTTAAATATCTCAGATTTCGCTAAATACCTGTTAAATATTCTCAGGGACTAACTCTAAATACCTGACCCGACTTGTTCTTCGGCGAGGCGGCAGCGTGTATGCTATAGGCCTTCCTCCCTCGAGTGGTGAGCGTGTGGAAGTCCTCGGGGTTGGGTTCGACCAGCAGGCCCGTCCAGTTCAGCGCTCTTTCGAAGTAGAGGCTGTTGCTCATTAGCTCTCCGTCGACCGCTCCCATCTCCACGAAGAAACCGTTAGTCTGGGGTGAGGGAGGGAGACAGAAGGGGATTGGTGAGGTGTCTAGGTATCCGTTTTGAGAAGGGGTTTGATGATGGTGGTGGTGGTGGTGGTGGGAAGAGAGACTTAATGATGATAAAAATGATGATGCTAGAACGAAACCCTTATTAGATGCCTAAGTATCAGCTCTGGGGGGATTGGTGATGGTAATGATGATGGTGGTGGTGGTGGAAGAGAGACTTAATGATGATAAAAATGATGATGGAAGAGCGAAACCCTTGTTAGATGCCTGGATATCAGCTCTGGGGGGGATCCTGAAGATGGTTTCTCTTAGACATGAAGCTCAGCTCAGTTCGACGCTTTAACCGTTTTTTTTCTTCTTCTCTTCAAGAAAAAGAAAAATCACAATCTAAAGTCTTACCATCCCATGAAGAAATTCTTTATCAGCATAAGTGCTCTGGTTAGACTGGGAGAAGTCAGTTTTCTCAGGATTCGCGAGGTTGTAGGGCTGCCACACGGGAGCCGGGGGTCGCATGCGCTGCCGGACGTAGGTGACGAGACGTGGGTCGTCCTGTTCGAATCCGGAGACGCTGACGATGTTCAGAATCTTCACACGGGGCGCTGGCTTGGCGTGGGGTTCCTGCCCTTTATTGGAAGGATTTCGCAATGTCTTCCGTGCCAGCGTTTGGTCTTGGCTTCTCTGTGTTATTTCTCTTTTGCTGTAGGAATTGCGAAGGGAGAACTTGGTCTGGGGTTCGAACTGCCGGAGCGGTGCAGGTTCTGTGAAGAGGAGATAGAGTGTCTTAGTGTTTTATCATTCTCACTAAGTAGTTATAGGTAGTGTACTTCCATGCATTATCTGATGATTAAAGTATCTCTTTAGTCCTCAGAGCCATTCCATATTGATATTACCATCCCCAACATGTGTTTCTCAATAGAACGATGGTAACAGCTATCACACTACTGTACTTTCCACTGATGCTGATGTTAATTATTGTGGTGACAGTTGTCGTCGTATTTTGTAAGCATTCTCCTTATTTAGTAAACGTCTTTGTCTTTAATTTCACATAATTTAAATAACTACATGTGTTTTTTTATCGAATATATCAACATACCTAGTAATAGTTGTTGCAAGTCGTACTTTAGATGTGCACAACCATTATTATTACTCTGTTATCAAACTCTCCGGTTATGTCATGGTAATAAATATCTTTATCATATCTTTACGCGCTATTTTTATAGCTGTGTGGCATAAAACTTACTTTTGCTTGCATTTCCTGCACTAAAAACTACTCCAACACTACGTACAGCTGGCCAACATTTTTTTTTCTTTTTCTTCTTCTTCGCCTTCTTTCTCTCTTCCTTTTTATGGCAGCTGTTTCTGGGAATTACATGTCCATGTATATGTATGTATGGGGAGAAAACTTCAGCTTATTTTGACATGAACATTTCTTAATATACTTACCTGGCTGCCTCAAGTAGGATATTAATTTGTTAAGGAAAACCAACCTAAATCCTGCAGCTGCTCATCATAAATGTGTAACCAATAAACCCCCCCAAAGTGCATGTTATAAAATCTGTTAATAGAAATCTGCTACCTAGGTGATACAGTCTTTGAAATCAAGCTATGTATTACCACGTGCTTTATCAGTTTAAAACAACGTGTGTGGATCTTTGTATAGGTTTGAGTATTGTGATTACTTGAAAGAGAATCTCTGTATATAAGAGGATAGTGTACTTTTGATACTGTTTTATGTCTCAGTAAATAAATAAATATTAAATGAATAAATAGAATAAATAAATAAATAGATAAAAATAGTGAGGTCTGCCTTAGAAATGACATTGTCTTATAACTGAGATAAAATTTTACTGCGAGTTCTGCCCAAGCAAATACCTTATTCATGACTATTTCTGTCCCTGTTTAGATGTTAATTAATTGTCTCTGACAAAACGTTTTTTATTTACATCCCTTTTTCCACACCTGTAAAGCGGGTTTTCATTGCCAAAGAAGCATTTTTTAAACGTTAAATTATTTCTGACAAAACGTTTTTTATTTACATCCCTTTTTCC